TTCACTTTTAATCCGCTCACACCTTGATATATCTGACAAAATCTGCGCAAAATCGACTAGACAATAAAACAGCAAAGACTATCGGCTGTTGAATATTCTCACATCACAGCCGCTCTTGTCAGGCAGACGTTATTACCGATTATGACGTCACGATAGGGTATCTCGTGTGCACGAGGAGAATGTAAAACAACGAAATCGCCGATCATGATGCAACTGCGACGGCGGCGTTCTCACGAGGCCGTTGGTAAGAAAAATGGTAGGGCATGCCGTGGTAACACACGGCAGATCGGAGGTTAAACGGGGAGGGAAGAAAAACGACGAGAACTCACCACCATGTCAGAACCACTCTTGGAGGCGTCGCTAACGGCGGAGGGGCTCCTTTCGATAACGAGGCCACCAGGTATCGGCGTCGAGGTCGGCGTAGGTATTGGCGTATGCGTAGGTGTCGGGGTGGCCGCCGAAGTGGTGCTGGCCGGCTGACTTGACTTCGGGGTCGGTACTGGCGTAACGACGGATGACGCTGACACCGATTGATCCTTGTCGGAGCTTGTCTGGTTGTTCCCTGCAGCGGCACCGCCGCCGACGATGGACGACGTTGCTCCTGCGGCCGCTGTCGAACTCGAACCACCGGACAATTCATCCGTTGGCAAAGAGCTCCCAACGTCTGTCAAGCAAGCGCACCGAATACCGCCCATTGTACAAGCACTTTCATTATTAGTCGGGCTAACCAGAATCGGTATGATACGCGGAATGCGTCGCTTGTCGTTGTGCGTCTTGAAAATATCGACATGATCCTGAGATTCTTTCCCGTGCATCAGACATTTTGTTCATTTGTTTTCGCGTACTTTTCATTGAAAACCGCTTCGTTCACATCATCATTTATTCACGGTGTTTGCGGGAAAAGACCTTCGAATTCAGCTAATATCTTTGTTATCCTTTCAAAGAGCGTTCGCGACGAGGAGAGGAGAGCGCACTTTCGTGTCGCACTTTCGAGCCCTCGAACGGAAAAACTCTCTACGTTACCTCGAGCGGGATTTTCTACCAGAAAAACGGAGAGCAACAGCTGAGTTACTCAAATTTGAATTCGTAGAAAATGGAATCTCCGCTCCGTATCGTCGAGTAAATATTTCCATTCAAAAACCAACAACAAATCGGATATAATCCGCTGTGGCTGAAACCAATTTACTCTAGTCGATTAAAGCGATCACTCGCATGAATTAAGAATTCACTCGATGAAGTTCGAGTTAAACATTCACTCTTGCGATGTCGAGAGGTGGAATTTTTACCGTCGCCTCGACGAGTGAATTTTCACTCGTTTTAAAAGAGATTTCCTCGCTCAAACTCCAAGATATTTAGAGAGTACTCGCACTCGCGGCACTCTTGTAACTCCTCCGGCCTGCGCCGTGCTTGAATATTAATGCGAATACGGTAAACGCTCGAGGCCTCTCTCGCTTTCCCGTAACTCATCTCCGCAAGTTCATTAGAACCGTCATTCTCTTTTTGCGACAAAGGAATTTTGCCCACCGAGAAAGAGGATTCGCGCATCGCGTGGACTCCGATTACTGAACTTTGCAAAATCTGTCATAACGCGTTCGCGAAAAATCCCGTCGAATAAAGTAATATGAAAAAAGAGAGAGACAGAAAGACAGAAAAATAAAGTTAACATTGGTAAAGGGATATTCTCTCGAATCAACTGCGTCACTCGCGATGTGTATACGCACGAACAACCCGCCGCGAGTTTGCTGTTCCATATGCAACGATGTGCGCAGAAAAAAGCTTAGTGAAACTAATTTAACTCTTCGCGGCGTGGGGAATCAAGCGGGAATCCAAATTTATGCTGACACTGACGATTTTAACGTCGCCGTCGCGCGGTAACGAATAAAATTTTTCCGTTATTTCTCCGCGCTTGCAACAAGATTGTAAGAATAAATAAAGCGAGCGAGCGAGTGAGTGAGCGAGAGAGAGAGAGAGAGAGGGAGAGAGAGAAGAGAAAAAGATACGATGACGTTCAATGTTCATGACGTTCGAATATTCTGCGGCGAATTTCCGCATTCAACGAACAGTGGGATTTGTCGCGCGTCCGGAATTGCACGACAATTAGCGACTTGGATGACACGAGTCGTCCAAGTCGCTCATTACGCCGCGAGTCACAACCGAGAAGACGTTGTCGTGCCATTCCTAGGAGGTAATCGTGAATTTTTTCTTCCAGTCGCAGACTCATGAAGAGTGAGGATTTTTCCAAGAGCTTTCGGATCTGAAAATCGTCACTCTTGGCGAATCCACACCAGGGGAAAAGATTCACGACCAACCGTCGTCTAATGTAAGCGGGTTCCACTCACGGTAAAGATTGTAATTACCTTGGGTGCTTCTCGCTACGACTAGCTCAACCAGACCACGGGCCTTCTGAAGAATGGAGATTGCTTGCTCATGGGAGATGTTCGAGTCTAAGGGTTGCCCATCGATCGCCAATATCTGGTCGCCTTCTACCAATCGACCGTCGCTGGAACAGAAATATCTCAATTCGATATATTTCGTATACAACGAGAGAGAGAGAGAGAGAGAGAGAGAGAGAGAGAGAGAGAGTGAGTGAGTGAGTGAGTGAGTGAAAGAGAACGTTACAAAAGAACGCTGGAGAAGAGAAAAGATGATGAGCGAAATGAATTTTTGAGATGAGATTCTGCGCGAATAAAACGGATCCACCTGCAAAATCGACCCGCGGCGCAAAGAGTAAACGAGAGGGACAATGATGGAAAGAGGGACGATGGGGCAGAGGAAGGGCAGAGCGTTCTGTATTCGCGACGGACACGAAATGGTGTACGCGGCAATCAATCACATTGTTTGCCATTGACATTTCCAGCCGTGCGTCGTCGTGCGCTTCGTTCGCTCTCCACCGTTTCGAATCAGTCCCGTTAAATAATCGAGAGACGATCGATCATGAAATTTATCTAATAACGCGATATGAACGCGCGTATGTATCTGCGCGTGTGTGTACGCGCATCTCGCTCGTTCGGTGATTATAATTATATTGTCTAATGAGAGCCGTTGATTACGCATGTATTTATTATATTATCAGATTGTTGCAATTTTTATCATATTTAGCGCAGAGCGAGAGCGAGAGCGAGAGCGAGAGAGAGAGAGAGAGAGAGAGAGAGAGAGGGAGGGAAGGAGGGAGAAGGAGAGGAAGAGGGAGAGTCAATCAGAGAACTTCGACACTCGTGATCCTCGTTATTACCCTGACGACCGCGTGTAATTAGTTCGCGCTCGTTTCGAGACTCTTTAACGGCGTTCGAGCCGTTAAACTTCCAATCCCGGTTTACACGGCCGTTATTAAACAAAATCTCGATCGCTGCCGCCACCCGGCGTACTCGTAGTTTTATCCGGCATATTTATATATAGCTGGAGCGGATTACGCCGGGTACTCGTGATACAACGTCGTGGTACGTCGCGCGAGAAATTTCAGAGCATTTAAGAGTCAGCGTAAGACGAGTGTAACGCGTGTCACAACTCCTATCGGTATTTTCTCGGATCGCGATACCTCGCGAAATCGTGTCATCGTCCAAATTCTTCTGGCGTGTAACGTAAGTAAATACAATTTGACAAACTTTACTTACTTACTTACTTACTTACTTACTTACTTACGAATCGTACACCGCGCGCGGCTTCCTCCGACTACCATGACGATAGTGGCAATAGTTACGGTAAATTCAGCGGAACGACAAAGAAGTAAGAGCGTGCTATTCGAGGGAGATTGGGATTGACGGGAGAGACATCCCGCGGCTTCGTCGAGAAAAAGGACAACAAGAAATATTAATACTATTCGAGAAAGGGGTAAAGAAGAGAAGAAGGGAGAGACGGAATAAAAGATGCAGGAACGCGCGGACGAATGTGCCGTGTAATCCGCGGGAAATGGACGTAACCGAGAATACACAGGATACACAGAATACCGGAACGCTACGGGAGTGTCTCGTGCCGAAAAAGGCTTCCGTCGTTCGTTGTCGTTGCAACGGTCGTCAAGATAGCGGGAATATCGATATCACTTGCTGGCTGAAATGGAACAAGCCGTCGTACGGGCGTTCGCAATCTGTCGGGGAATCCGAACACGACAATACGGACGAAAGACGGAATCACGGAGACAGGCCGATAAGAGAGTTTTGACAAGCCGCAAGCCCCCGATAGCCCCTGACCAATTAAATTTCTCCTACGCGACGGAGCCGGGAGAGAGAGAGAGAGAGAGAGAGAGAGAGAGAGACGAAGAAACTGCCGCCAGCCGTCCCGTAAGTTCCGCGCAATTAAACCCGCTCGGGACCGCCGTCGCCGTCGCCGTCGCTGCTACATGAAACGTCCCAGAAACGGCGGAAACTACCGGCGCGTAGACACCGGGAGAACGAAATAAGAAGCATGATGGCTGTTTGAATAGAAGGCGACGTCTCCCGCCGGAAAATAAAAGGATCCCGTCCAATCTAATTTTAGGAGCGCGAGCGGAAATTCCGTCTACTGCCGGCTCTCCAAAATCGAAATTCGCGGATCCTCTGAGGAATACTCGGCGCTACGTGTCTTACAACGGAAATAGCGACGGCATTATCGAGATAAAAATACGGATGTCTTAGGTGAGGGCGGAACGCGGGCCCTTACCGAGAACTGCCGAAACAATCGCTCTTTTTAAAGTTCAGCTTCTCGGTAGAGATCGCGCGACCGTTCGACGATACGCTGCGAGGAAATGGAATTAATTCTATGAACCGAGCGTATCGATATCGCGCATGTCGCACGTGTGGTGTAGCTGATAAAATTCGGCATACTCGACGAAATAATCCGGAAGGGGAGGGGCGCGAGGAGGGGGAGATCTCCCGCGGCGGGAATCGTGGGAATCGACGAAATTGCAAGCGGGCAGGCCTCTCTCTCGTCGCGGCGATGCTCGGAGAAACATCATTATCTGCGCTATTGCTCCCACGTGCTGCGATCGTGTATCGAAACATCGCGCGGCGTGTGTTCGCCGCGACATTTACGTAGCATAGCGCACGCGAAGCCAATGCGCGCGCTACTGCTGCTGCTGCCTAGGCTGGCATTTAATCATACGATAGCGGTCATGTTACCCAATTTCCGTCAAAGCGAATTTCGATGCCCGCACATTGTCGCTAATGATACTCGCTCGCCCCGGTCACGGTGATCTACGATCTCGATTTTCCGCGGCCCGAACAGGTGACCGGCGGAATCCGATATCGACAAAAACTTCCCTAACGACGTCGTGACGAAGAGAACACGGGAGACTGCCGTTTGACCGAACTGCGTCGCGAAGGTTGGCGCCGGAGGAACGCGAGGGTGAACGTGCCGCGGAGAAAATTCTGAATTTTCCACGGAGGGAAAGTATTGCCAGCTACTGCTGACGATGAAATCGCGTAGCTCGAGTATTTTAAATCGCTAATGCACTTCACGGAAATGCTCATTCAGAGTTAATGTAAATATACGATGATGGTTGCGTGAGAAGAAGAAGAAGAAGAAGAGAGAGAGAGAGAGAGAGAGAGAGGCGGGGGGTGGGGGAAGGGAAGAAAATCGCAATCGTGTTCATGGCGACGCACAATATAAATATATATCCTCGAAGTTTCCTTCGAATCGGCAAGTGCGAATAAAAAGAACTTGCTCTAAAGTATTCCGCGGAAACTCACTCGCTCACTTTTTAGCGCAAGCGAGTGTCGTCCGTGTTTTAATTCGAGGCAAGAAACCCGAATTCCCGGGCAAGAAACTTACGAAACTATTCAGAGCGCGATGAAGAAGGACACACACACATATACGCATATACACACGCGACACGCGCGACAAAACGCCCGGGGATGCAAGAATGCGAGCCGATATCATATTTCGCGGGAGCGCCGTGCGCGCAACGAATGAAAATGGAAAATCGAATAAAGATAACACGGTTAACTGCGCAACGTCCATCGCGCACCATACGGCAAACACGAAATATAGTCTCGTCGGAAACTCGTTAAAGACACCAGAGAGAAAAAGAGGACGCAACGGCGCGGCGGACAGAGACGCGAGTCGTGAATGAAAGAGTAAACTGACAGATCGATAAGCCTGTATTACAATCGGACACCGGGACGAAGAGGTCGCCCGCGAGCGAGCGAGCGACGGGATCGGCGGAATCGTAATAATAACGCTAACGAGTAGCGTTCTTACGGCGCGTAAAGCTCGAGAAGAAAAATATAAGACGCGAAGGTGATTAAGTTAATGCACAGGAGACAGCGGTGGATACGGGACGAGCAGAAAGTCATGCTTCGCAGCTCTCTCTCTCGCGCGCGCGCGCTCTCGCCCCTTTTTCCTTCTTCTTCCCTTGCCCTCTCTCCCTCTCGGTATTCCTCTCGCTCGGTGTGCCCTGTAAATTATGAATGAGACGGGTCTGCGAGTACTGTGTGTACCGAGCTCTCAGATTACTTTCGCAGCGCGCCCCGCGTGCTTTCAAAGTGCACGAGCTTATAGCGTGTGTAAGGGTTACGCGCGCGCGAGCGCGCGAGCGCGAGAGGGTGCTCGTCGATGTAGGAAAACACTGCAGCTACCGAGAGGGGGTTTTAGAGTCGGCTTTTAACATACGAGAGGGCCGAACAAACGCGCGGGCCGCCGATAATATCGTAAAACAAAAACACCGCGAGCGACTCATTTTTCCCTCTGTTTATCACTCGGGAACGCCCGCGCGCTGTACGAATACGCGTAAAACGTAACGTCGCCGGTATTCTCGCATTAGTCAGCGTATTCGATATCTAAATATCTCGGGTTACCTTCGCGAAACGTTTGGCAACGCGCTTCCCGCGGAAAAATGTTTCCCTTCTCTTCTATTCTCTCCTCTCACCCCTCCCCCCTTCTCACACCATCTCCCACTCTCCCACTCTCCCTCTCTCTCTCTCTCTCTCGCTCTCTCTCTCTCTCTCTCTCTCTCTCTCTCTCTCTCTCTCTCTCTCTCTCTCTCTCTCTCTCTCTCTCTCTCTCTCTCTCTCTCTCTCTCTCTCTCTCTCTCTCTCTCTCTCTCATACTCATGCGGTGAAACGTTATTCGCGGGTTTCGCTTGGTCATATCATCGTCATCGCTCATCGTTCGCGATCGGTTCGCGGAAAGTTTACGATCCGATGCTCGATGTAATGCGGACAACAGCCAACTATCTATTGTTCCATATTGCGAAATAGTTACACGGTTGGTCGGCGCGCTAAACTTTCTCCAAATTTCCAAACTGTTACGGAGCAGCAGCAGAGGTATCATACTTCGTGTATGAAAGGCGTCCATTATGCAAAACCGCCCACACATAAATTCCGTGGCAATTGCAAGTGTTACGGTATAATTACGTAACTGGCTTAGATGTACGACTAGTTCAGACACAATCTATGTTCTGCGTAAACAACAGCGACGAATAACGTCTTATATAGGACTTTTCCCGTTTACTCTCGTCTGTGCCGCGCGATTTTCGACGGGAAAATTTTCCAAGTGTGAAAGCGAACCGCCTCTCCATTTTTTTTTTTC